CAGGTGTGCCTACATGCGAAAAACGACAATCACACTACGCATCCTATATCACAGTGAACATTGGAGTGAGATAAATAATTACAGGGCCATCACTGAGACCCCATTCACACTGAGCTACATCAGCGATGATTTGAGCTGAGCAACTTATTGTTGCGCTACGTAGCGCTACTTTTGGCATGGACTTCGTAGCTGCTACATTGGGCTGTATCCAATCAAAACCGGCCTTGATGTGACATAATTCCTCTTCCTGTTTTCTGCTTATATTTCTGTGCAAAAGTGACACTTCTGTAGCGCGACGTGGCGCAACAATGTCGCGCAAAATCCCTGGTAATGAGTGACATTGAGCTACACCATTGAAGTCTATTGGGCCAAATCACACGAAATCCACCGCAAAATAGGTCCTGTTTAAGCAACAAGCTACAGGCGACATTGAGCTGTGAACAGCTCCATTGAAATGCATTGGACGAGCTACATTGAGCTGTTTGAGCAACTTTTGAGCTGAAATTGCGCTACAAATTGCTCAGTGTGAATGGGGTCTCACTGTTAACTCTAAATTGATGAGGCTTTTAGATCATATTGTGCTGTTTTTTGCCATTTCATGGGCACACACAATTTTAAAAGCTGGAAATGCTTGGGGGGGAATTTATCAAAGCGTTCGCGACAGTTTTAGCCTCTTAGATAATTTTTTTTTCTGTGCAAATCTGTCTTTCAACATGTGCCCTTGTTCTGACCTGAGCTTGCACTACTTTTCCACCTGCACGTGTTTTGCCCGTTTTCTTCAGAGCTTGCACTACTTTTTAACTGCATGTTTTTTGCACCTTTTTTCATCTGCATTTGTTCTCGGCTGTCTGAAACTGAAGCATCACCTAAGAAAACAAATCACAACTTAAGAAGTCCCCATGACCACTTCTTCAAGATGCGACAGTTAAAGCTTTTTGCCTAGAGTTAGAAGTCTTCTTTCTTGGAGTCTATTAAACCTAATTTATCAACAACATTACACTAGCTTGATAAATCTGGTGCAAATATTTTCCATGCAAGTTCAAACAAATACTTGCAATTGCTTTGATAAATTCCCCCCTTGGTATGTATTTACCTGACACGACAACATGTTTTATATTTAGTTCATTCGGGTGCCCTAAATTTATTTTAGCCTAAAAATATTTGTTTGATAAATATTTGCACAACTAGCATTCTACAGGGCCTCTGCTTTTAGGAAATGTAATTGTTTGGGGGTTTTATGCGGTTTTCTAGCCAAAAATGTAGGTTTTATCATGTGTGGAAAAATTAAGAAATTACTCTGGATGGGATGGTGGTTAAAGCTTTCTACTTTTTCACAAAATGGGTAAAACTACTGCAGGAAGGAGGCATGTACTGTGGTGGAGGCATGTACTTTAGTGGAGGTACCCACAAGGACACCTGACATTCCAGGGATGGAAATAAACGTTGGATCTTACTGTTTTAGGCAAGCTCCTGCTTTGGGAAACCAACGTCCAGCAATGTTGACTGGTTTTAGGTCTGGTTTACAGGTTGACCAACAAGGTGCATTTTGCCTCAGTGCTTAACCACAGTAGTAGTAAAGTGGAGTCCATTTTCACAACAGCATAGGAAATCCCTTTTAAATGGCATCTGAAATAAGCATATTTACTAGCAGCATAAAATGGGCAAATATCATAGACATGTGACAGACATCTGAATCTTGTACTTCTGCACAATTTACATTACAGACACTAGGTTGGCTTCAGATGTACTACTTACAGGTTTGATCTCTCAAAGTCGAGGAAAAATCAGGCAGACCTTTACAGAACCTGAAAAAAACCAAGCAAGAACTTTAACAAACTAACATTTTAAAACACAAGAGAATTAGGTTCTTGCTGATCACTGTACACTGTCTACTCAGTATTAGAAGATCTGAGATTTTGAATTTTGGCAGTGTCTTCCTGTTCTGGCAACACCGCCGCCCCCCCCCCATGCTTGTTTTCTGGTGGCATCTGGACAGCAAGGGAAATCTCTACAGTGAGGGTCACTGACAGAAAAAAAAAAAGAAACCCACTGCCAAGCTATTTCACATTCATCTTACCACATTTCTGGAAAGTACTATCTACTGCTGCACATTAAAGTGTACCTAAAGCCAAAACTGTAGATTTTAAATAGTGAGGGTAAAGATTAGTACCCCAGTCACTTTTATTGCACACTGCACTGTTCCCTGTTGTGTGTGGACAACCAACATTTAACTTAAGTGAAACATCATGGAAATTTGCCTTGATGAACAATCCCGCATGGCCCTGCATTGGGGCAAACCATTCTGGTGACAACTGTCTAAACACCTTCTCACCAGGTGTAGGCATAGATGCGGCAGCACATCAGGTGGGCTTTAATGCCTAGCATACAGCCGAGGATCCATCAACAGCTCACGGTCACGGTTTCCCTTTGGGAAATCATGTGACCACCTTTATAGCCAAATACACGCTTGCCTGCAACTGCTAGTGCTTAGATTCCCTTAACTTATAGGGCGGTTTTATTAGCCCCTGTATATGATAGCAATAAAGTTTAGTGAAAAAAAATATTAAAGTTTCCCCCCCCCCAACAAAAAAATTTACAAAAAAGAATTTTAAAAAAACCAAAAAAATGTTTAAAGTCCCCACCCATACATACACGCATGCAAACATGCGTCGGGGGGGCATACGTGAAAAAACAACGATTGCGCCCATTATGCCGCACATGTTACATATCGCCGCGAACGTCATAGTGGGAGCAATAATTCTAGGGCCATCAATCACTGATAACACTAAACTGATGAGCGGTAAAAGCTTTTAAAGCGTCGCCTATGGCCAATATTGGGTATTGTAGTTTTCTGCTGGTGCGCACAATTTTAAAGCTTGACATGTTTGGTGTCTATTTACCCGACGTGACCCCGTCTTTTATATTTGACCAAAAACATGGGTAATAATAAATGTTTCCTAACATAATGTAAGAAAAAAAAACACCTTTTTGTTTTCAAAATTTTCACTAATTTTTCCTAATTATAGTAAAAAATAAAAACCGCAGTGGTGAATAAATACCACCAAAAGAAAGCTCTATCTGTCCCAAAAAAATGGTATAAAATTAATTTCAGTACAGCGTTGCATGACGGAATAAATGTCAAAGTACCGCAGTGCTGAATACTTAAAAATGGCACGGCCAGGAAGAGGGTCTAAACACCTGGTCTTCAAGCGGTTAAAGTGCCGATGGGAGCTGCGCCATGGGGTTCACAGTGCTGCACAATTAATATAAAAGAAGAATCTGGTTATTTCAGTTATTACTATTCTAGTTGTGCACCCAACTTGTGTTTCCGTTAGTATGCGCACGTTCGCACTGACTAAACTTCTTTGGGGGTATTTATAAATTAATTTTTACTGTTTTTTTTGTGTTACCTTTCCACTGCACTGGGGAATGATAGATGCCTGCTGAGGCAGCTGAAGGTAAACACAGCAGGCAGTGGTTGGGAGCACTAGCCAGCCTGCTACTGCAATTTAAAATAGCCAATGGCAGGCTGGCTATTGCTTCCAGACGCTGGATGGGAGACCTGACTCTGGCTTTCTACCGCTGGGAGAAGAGGGGCGCACACAGAGGCAGCAGAGGAGGAACAAGGGCAGGAGTAGGGGAATACAGAAGCACAGCGGTCCCTACTCCCTGCTTGGCGCCAGCTGCAATGGTCTGTGTTCCCTCTGATCAAAGGGGACACAGAAAACAGCATGCAGCAGCTCCCAGAGGAGGTAGAACGGAGGAGCAGAGCGGCGGCGATTCAACTAATCGATAATGAGAATCATTGACAACGATTCTAAATATCGATTATCAATTAAATTGATTTAGTTGTTGCAGGCTTATTTAAGAGCAACTTGCGAATGTTTCTTGGGCCTCCCTCTCCTTAAAAGCATCATGTCCTATGCACCTGATAAACAATCAAGTAGTATTAAACAAACAGTTTTCAACAGTAAATTCAGAATATACATTGTCCAGTAAAGTATTTAAATTTCTGTCTAAGCACGAAGGCGCAATTCACATACAAGGATTTCCTGCTGATCGGAGCAGAACGGAACAGATGTCACTCTTGTAACATCCGGGAACCATTCAGTTTTTTGCACCATCTTGTGATAGAGCAAAAAACTGAGCAGTATGGACCCATGTTAGGTCTATAGGGAGTTGGATGTAACCAGACATGCATTAGTTTACATCAAATTAATTCCGATCCATCACAATCAGGTCCACCAAAACAGAACTGTTCTTTCCGGACCTACAAAGAATCGGTGGTAAATGGATTTAAAACAGATGCACGTCTGCTTACATCTGGCTGTCCATAGTTCCACTGAGACTTCCAATCAGATCCGCCTAGAAAATGGACAGGCAGCTCTGAACAGACTGCTCGTGTTCAAGGGGCCTTACAGTTTTCATCTAACTGGCTCTAACCCTCTCAACTCAGCTTCCCTGAACTTCCTATTGTGACCATCTACTCAAGGGACAAAGCAGTCTGCAGCAGCTGTTTATCTGCTAGCGTCAAGAAGAAAGGTGCGAGGAATGGGGAGCAGGGGACTGGATTGCCTTGCCTGTGTATTATGGAGAGACACACACAGCTCACTCCACAGGGACCCTGTAAAGTAAAAGGAACCACCTTAAAAACAGGATACCAGGACCAGTGGTCAGGGGGCCAGCTAATTAAAGCAGGAAACAAAAAACAACTTAAAATCAAAAAAGAGCAGCATCCATGACTCCAATTTACCAGCATTTAAAATAGCCTAAAAGCCTTTGACTTTAATATCACCTTAACCCCTTCATGACTGAGCTTGTTTTTAGTTTCTGTTCGTAAATGACTGACACCCTTTTGAAATGTTTGCTGTGTGATTCTTCCACGTCAGTAATATACTTTCTTACAAAGTGCACCCACACATATTATATATTGTTTTTTTAGAGGACAGATAGGGCTACATATTTATATCACATGTGTGTGTCTAACGCCTCACTTAGGACAAATAAAATATATTAAAAAAAAAAAAGGAGGATAAAACGTTAAAAAAAACACTTTACTTCAGAACAGCCGATAATACGTTAGTGACACTGATCCTGCAGCAGTTCAGGATTCAGCTGTCACTAGTTTTCTGAACGTTCCAACGATTAGAAAACTGAAACATTCTTCTTTCAGGAATATATTATGTATCTATTCGTGAAAGTGAAAGAAAAAAAAAAGCCAGTATAGCTTGAGAGAGATATCTCTCGATCTATACGAGCTGTCAGAATGCCAGCAAGCAAGGCATGTGTGCCCGCTCTGCTTGGACTCTCAAGACACCCGATATTAAGGTATCGGGTGTCTGAAAAAGGTTAACCCTTTCATTAATGAATGCCTCTATAATGAGGCATCCATTAATGAATGGTAACCGCTGATTCTCAGCAGTTACCAGCCTTCTAGTGCAGCAAATAACTCGTCACGTACAGTGTACGTGACGAGTCATTTGGTCCCTTTGTGGCGGGACGTACAGTGTACGTCTCCCGTCACGAAGGGGTTAAAGTGGAACTCCAAAGAAACACAATACTATAAATTCTTGATTGAAAATAAACAAAAGTTACCTTGTGGCAGGTGTGTTGGACTCTAAATCTTGTGTCAATTCATACATTGGTATATGCCAGAAAATGCAGCTCTTGTTATACTTCCAGCACTGTTATTAGGAGGCTCTCATACACAGAAGCCATAAAAGGTTATTTATCTGTCCCTCCTTTTCCCCTGTCCATCTACAGAACGCCTTGTGTTCTGTGAACCTTTCATATTGGAACTTAAAGGGAGATGGAGACATCAGAAACTGTTGTTTGTTCTATGGAATGATTTACAAATCTTGTCCTGGTGAATGGATGTATAAACCCCTAACTGCATTCATGGATTTGTACCACATCCTTTCCTTGATGAATTAGTGGTGAATCTGGAGCCCGCTTGGTGCATGTATGGTTTAAGTGAAATCTTTTTTCATGAAGCTCAATGACATACCAGGGGTGTGGAATTCCAGGCAGGTTTTTGTTTTCCTACATTAAGCCCTGCTTTAGGCAAGCATGGCTAAATGCAGAGCGGGGAAGCCGCCGCTCGTATTGTACCAGATCACCTGTATAGCAGCCTGCTCGTCACTCCCACCTCCAAGGTCCGTTGAAAATTTGTGGTGTGACCTGAAGAGGGTTGTGCACAGCGGGTGCCCTCAAAATCTGACAGATTTGGAGCGCTTTTGCAAGGAAGAGTGGGCAAAGATTCCCAAGGCAAGATGTGCCATGCTGATAGACTCCTACCCCAAAAGACTGAATGCCATCATAAAATCAAAAAGGTACTTCAATAAAGTATTAGTTTAAGTGTGTGCATATTTTAAGGGTTTTTTTTAGAGGGAAACCCTTGAAAGATTTCAGGTTTGTCTAAATAGAACTAGAGAGATTATAGGTCACATAAAAAAAGGTGAAAAACAAACAAACTGGCATTTTTTTACAGGTGTGTACTTTTTATATCCACTGTATATACACAAATACCGATCAACCATAACATTATGACCACTGAGAGGTGAAGTGAATAACATTGATTATCTTGTTACGATGGCACCTGGAAGAGGGTGGGATATGCAGCGAGTGGACATTTTTCCCTGAAGTTGATGTGTTGAAAGCAGAAAAAAAAAAAATGGGCAAGCGTAAGGATATAAGCGGCTCTGACAAAGGCCAAATTGTGATGTGGAGTTGATCTGACCCAGTTGTCTACCCAAATGCAGCTCTTGTGGGATGTCCCCGGTCTGCAGTGGATAAGGACCTACTA